TGGAAATGAAAGAAAAATTTGTATTTCGTATCAACACAAATACGTGGGTTTTCTTCAGTTCTTTTTTCCCCACACACTTTTTTTCCACCCAACATATCTATTTAAACGTATTTTTAAAAGGGAAGTGTATTCCTTACTCCTGAGTTGTTCAAGCAGTTAATATTCATCTACTTCTCACAAGGTGGCTGGTACCAGTGATCATTAGAGAGCTTTGTGGTGTTTTCCTGAGCCCTTCTTGTGTTGGCTGGTGGAAGGATAACCTGGTTTTCGGGGATGCTGCCTGGAGCAGTGGGGAAGGGGAGGAGAGTCTGACCCTTTGGGCAGGGTCTTATAAGTAAAGTCTGGTGTTGCTGGGTGGCCTCTCCAGCTGCCTTAGTGTGTATTTGGGGGTTCCCCTGTTTTCATTTGTTACTGTTTCTGAAATAAGCATTGCAAGCTCGGTATTTTTGCCAGAGACCTTTTTTTATTGCTTTATAGAACTGTTTCCAGCAGAAAGACAGGTCATGGATTAGTTACATGACTTTAGCATATGGCTTAAATTATATAGCATATGATACAAATTTTAACACTTTACAACTCTGCTGAGTTTTGAGAAATCAGCGTCCTCAGGAGGTTCTGAGTTTGTCCTATAAAATAATCAGATGAACAGAGAGCTTTAGCTATTTAATATACAATGAGTGATAGAGAATGAGAACTGGTTGAGACGTTTTAACTCTTTAGGACACACTGAGCTTAGTACTGCTGTAACACAGGGGCTTTCCATAGAGTACTACCTTACCCAGTACAGTCTGTTTTCACATGCTGTGGCTTGATGCCCATACTGGCATGGACAGCCTGGCTGAGGTGCTGTGTGTCCTCCTTGCACTCCTTCTCTGCTTTTTCACTGGAACTGTCCTCTTTGGAGCATTAATAACGTTATCCTGAGAAGGTGCTGAGCTCCCTGGTCTGCCCTCAGGGCTAGAGCTGTAAAAACAGCACTTTCAAGCAAGGGGACAACAGGTTGTGCTGCTAAGATGTGTTAACACTGTTGTCGATAGAATTCATGACTTGATCAACCTTGTTCACTGAGGAAGGAATCGTTTCTCAGTCCCTGGATCAGATGTGGGAGCTGTAAGTAAGTCTAACCTGTAGAGTAATGATTTCCACCATGACTTCATGTGAAAAACATTTCTAGTTTATGACTGCAGAATGGAGTCACTTGTGCCTTGCCTTTTCCTATATTGCAAATGTTCGTTTTGTTCGTTGCATTAACACCAAGCCATTTGTTCTGTTCAGAATGGCGTGTGCACCAGGTATCGAAGTCACCAAAGGGTGCAATAAGCAAAGATATTTTGCTTCTTCATGTCATCTTCATGCTATATTTACCCTTTGGTGATAGCTCTGTTAGCACAGGAAACTGCTTAATGCTATCTCTGTGTTTGTTTTTCCATTGTGCTTAGCGTGGTAGTTACCTGTTTATTTGTGCTGAGGAGGACTAACAGGCATTTTTCAATTGTGAATGATGCACACAAGCGTTATTTAATCTGTTTCCTTCAGACCTATAGAGTGTTAGTCAGTCTTGAGCAAAAGCATCTTGTTCAGGAAATAGCATTTGTAGTAGTGGTACGGTGGGTATTCTAGGGTAGTTTCAGGATGCTTTTCCATCTGTCTGTTAATACTCACCATGCAGCAAGCTTGTGGCCAGCAGCATCACAGGTTTGTGTTTGTGCCTGAAATTCCTGTGCTTGAGAAGTTGCCATTCGTGGTTTTTCTTCTGTGCTAAGGTCTTGAAGGAGGAGGGGGAAACGCATGACTCTTCTCTCACAGGAAAAGAAAAACTTTGCCCAGCTTTGGCAGGTGTTTGTTGGGTGAAGCTAAAGTGCCAAGACCCAGCTCCAGTTGTATGATCTTTCTCTTACTCTGTAGCCAAGGCATCAGCAGAAACATGGCATGTAAAATCAATATGAAGAATTCATTGCTGTTTTGCTTCGGGATATATTCATAAGATAATAAAAATACACTGCTGTAACACATATTATATAACAAAGAAAGATAAAAGCAGTTTGCAGAAGGATATAAGCTCAAGCTTCATGACATGGAATCATAAAGCAGGTCAGAAGGACACTTCTTATTCTGGAGATTTTTGTCCTTTTTTTCCTTCAGCTATTTTTTGCCCTTCCTTTCTTTTGAGTATCAGCTGTTGTCAGAGACAGGATTCTTGTATGGGTGAATCTGTGATCTCTACCAGCATGGTAGCTGCAGGCCAGTTAAACCAGAGTCATACAGCAACGGGGATAGAACTTGACATTTTGGGTTTCAGAAACCTCCTTTTCTCTGTGAACACAGCCAGAAAAAGGATACAGAGACGTGCAAAAAAAAAGAGAGAGGAAATTCAAGGTGGGTTTTTTGGTTTGGGGTTTTTTTTAAGAATTTGAAGAAGAAAAAGATATAAGAAAACTTTTGTTCTGAAATCTGAACCCTTCCACAAAATGAGAAAACTTTTAGGTGCTTTTCTAATAGTCTTGCTAAGATGCTGAAACAGTTGTAGTGAAGTGTGAGGGAACCATGTGAGAGTATAAGGAAAAAAGAGGGAAAGCATCCGAAAGGAAAATAAATCTATATCCCATACAGGTCTGAACTAACATCTCTGCAAGTGATACTTGTTTGAACGTGATTTTTAAGGAAACATGAGATTCCACTCCTTATACCCTTGAAGAAAACATGATTACAGATGCATGGAGCATTTGCTCTCCAGCCCCCAAAGAAATAACGTGCCTGTTGATTTCATGCTACTGAAGAACACAGCATATTTGCAGAATGTGCTATCAAAAAGACTGTTTGCATCTATGCAGTCGTACCACCTCAGCAGATTTAAGGGGCGCTGCCAGGACTGAGGTTAAGGATTGATCTGCTTTGACACAAAGTCCCAGAAGGAAGAGTTCTAACCTTTAGGATTCTTTCTGTCTATTTGCTTTCTTCAAACTGATTGCAGCTGTCACCAGAAATAAAACCAATGTAAACAAAATAAAACTCTTTACTGCTTATGGTTAGGCAGCAATAAATAAAACATTGTTTAAGTCCAGCGCAAGGTTTTCTTATGTTCCTGTACTTAATTGCTGGTAGCATTTTAATGATTTTTTTTTTAATTGGATTTTTTTTTTTGGTGAAACCTGGATGAATGGAGAAGATGCAGGAATGTGTCACGTAACAGGCTCTCTATTTTTAGTGTTTGTTGTTGACTTGTCAGATGGCAGACAGAACTTACAAAGTGAGTCTTCGGGTCCACTGTGCTGTGATTATTATTTATACAGGATCCAAAGTGCACAGAGCACCCCTTTGGGCATATAAAAGTTCATGCTTCAAGGAGCTTACAGCCTTCAGGGCTAATAGTATTATGTCCAGTGACATCTAAGCTGTATATATTTCAAAGCTGCTTTTTCTCCTTTCATAATTTTATTGCGTTTCTTACCCTAGCTAGTCGTTGCAAGTTCTGGAGTATTGTGATGGGGAAAGGATTTTCAATTTCCATTTGCAACACCAAACCATTTTGTCTTTAGAGAAGTGCACAAAAATGCGTCCGGAACACAGCACAGTAGTTCAAAGGCCAAATAAAAAGAAAAAAGAAAGGTGGTTTGTTGTGGTTTATCTCAATGAAGTTGGCTAAGAAGATAATGAGGTTTCTAAGATTCCTAATTAGTCATGGGGAGGAAGGACGAGAAGGGATGTGATTGTGAAACTTGGGCAGTTGATTCCAGTTTTCTTGTCTGGCCATTAAATTTGTGATATTTTTATTATAACACATTTTTTGGATGTGCCGTTGTCAATTATGTCCTCTTCCTAAGAGTAAACTCCAAGCTAGTTCTGTGCTTCATGCAACAGTGTGTTCCCTGTTGGGCACAAGGTTCCTTCTCAGGGTTTTCTTCTTTTGTCTCTACTCCTTTCTGAATATATTGATACACAGCCATAATGTGATTAAACTCTGCTATTCCTCATGACATTGAGGTCATCAGCAGGCAGTAAAGTACAGAGGAACTCTTTTGCATTTGATGTGTTGCCCATTGGGAGCAGTCCATCCGGAAACGATCAACATTGCTCAGGTTCTGAAGCTGACTGGTGGGGAAAAAAAAGAGAAATGTACCCCATGAATGAGATACATGCCAGTATTTATCTCCCAAAAGTAAATTGGCAAGTAACTTAAATAATGGAACATGTTCCCAGAAATTGTGAGTTATTCCTTCAATACCTCTGAAGAGGCAAAAGGTTAAAAAAAAAAAATGCATTATTGGTTGTAAATTCCTTGGCTGTGTGCAAGTAAGGGACTGAAGTGATGGGTTTAATTTGGAAGTTGTGGAGCTCAACAGGGTTAATCCTTCCTGCTGCCTTCCCCTCCTCTCTCTGGTCTGGATCTCACCCTTGCAGAAGATGTGGGCTGGGTGATGGAAGGAATGCTGCAGGTTTTGGTCTGGCACTGCAGGCAATTACATTGTCAAAAACTGGTGATTTTTTCTATATCCTCTCACAAAGCTTTTTTCCCTTTCTTTTGTCCAAGTGACACTAAATTAAATAAACTTAAAAATATGAATAGTGATGAGATGCCAAAGCCCAGCTCCATTAGGGCTGAAAGGGGTCCAGCTTCACTGACTGCAGTGGCAGCCTCAGATTTATGGCCATATCAGTAAGGAATGAACTGGTCCAAGATAACTTCTGTTTATCACGGCCGTTTTCCTCTATGAAAGCAGAAGTAGATGGAGAAAAATCAGCTCTGTGTTTTTAGGCTTTGCAGGGCTGATAATGTGGCTAATGTTTTACAGAATTCAAAGGACACTTTCTTTTGATTTAACCTTCCTCACTTTATTTTATTACACCATGTATCTTTGGCATTTGGTGAAGATCCATTGTAAATGTGAGAACTAAGCAGATAGTTAGATAACATCTTTTTTTTTCTCTTTAGAAGATTAAACTGAGACTGTTCTGCCTGATGCCAGAGTAGATGTAACCAATCCTGTATCCTTTGCATGTAGGTCAGTCAGAGGGACAATTCAGCACTGGATCCCATTATCCATGGGTTGAAGGGCGTCGTACATCACGGTAAGTAGCTGTTTAAACTTTCTTCTTGCTGGGAAGGGGAGAAGGGCATGAATATTGTCCTTACGGGATCAGGTCACCCCTGGAAGGACACAGTGAGCCTACACATTCCTCATTCACTGATGTTTAAGGGCATCACAGCCATTATTTGATTGGTAAAGATCAGAGTCATTTGTTACCTGAAAATGATTTTGGGGTTAACAGTAAACAATTTGTTTCTTTTCAGTCAGTGCTCTAGAATGCGTAAGTTATCAATCAAAACCTGCTGCAATATATCATTCATATTAGTACTTCGAAGGCAGCGTGGATGCTTCGCTCTGTTATTTATCTTCTGTTTGCTCTAAAAATACTCCTCTCTGAAGTTTCTATTTGTTTATAAATTATTTGTCTTTCAAATTTAGGGAGCTGATAATGAAACAGAAAATTAACTATCTATGAAAATTAATTAAACTTCGCAGCAGATGAACATCTTTCTAATGCTGACATAAATACGATCATTCAGCTGTTCTGATGCATATACCTATTATCCTTGAACTTATAGCAGGTACTGAAATAAATATTAATACATTTTATACTTTTATAACCAATTTTTTACTTAGGAATTTTCCTGAAGCCTTACCACAGGTAATGCATCATCAGCAATGACATCAAGATGCTCTGGTTCCCAAAGTACTCTTGTCAGATTTTAATATAATGATTTGTAAAGTTTTAATAATCCCATTGTAATTCAAAAGGCATCTGCTGGAATGGTGCTTGGTACAATAATAAATCTCCATCCCATCTATAGTGCTGTGATAAAACATCTTTGCACCTTTTCCGAGGATTGTCTTTAGACATTAGCTAGTGCTGTAGAGCTTAACAAACAGTTTTTTTCTCTTGACTGCAAACCTAAAACTAGTTGACACTCTTGGATTAGAACAAATAGGATTTTGGATTAATTGTTCTACTTTCAGTATCATTTAACATTGCAACTGGGAAGGCCAATAAATCTGAACAAGTAAAAAATGGGTTAAATGATAACATACCATAAAGTTCTTCATTTAGAGAATTTTCCTTAGATTTTGCTGTTTATAAATTGCAGTACTCTGCCGTGAAATAAAAACAACACTCCGATCTGAAAAACTGGTGTTGTTTTCCACAAAAATAGGTGTTATTACCTCGCTCCCACTGGGTAACAAAACAGGCTCACAAAAGCGAAACAAGGACAAGTTGGGCTGCAAGGATTCTTCAGTGGCTAAATCATTTGACTCTGCAGCCAAGCTGCCATTTAACTGGACTAGGATCTCTTTTTAGTTTTTTTAGCTGCTTTCTATTTCAGGTAAATAAACCTCTGCAAGTGTGACAGTGTTTTAACCAACTCATCGGGCTTTTCTACTCCCTCTCTTGCTTCTCGCTCCGCAGCCAAAACAGCCACTTGTGGATAATCACAGCAGTGTCTCCTAAGAGGATTATCCCATTCCCAAAAATAATTGTTTGGGTAGGATGTGACTCGGTCCCGAGGCTGTGATTCCCTAACCACATAATGATCAGTCCATCTCGGTGCTGTCTACCCACAGAAAATCTGGGTGGATGAAAGGCATTTATTTTTGTTTTGCGCACAATGCACAGAAGTCTGCTCGTGTTTCAAGTAAAGGAAATCGCTTGATATATTTCAATAGCTTGTTTCCTTTTCAAAACATTAAGGAAGAAAAAGAGGAAAATCATGCTTTCCTTCCTGTTTCAAAGGCCCTGATTAAAGGCCTTTTCTAAGGCTCTTTCGGTGGCTAGAGTAAAGGAATTTCCTCCTGCAAAGCAGTTGTTCAAAGAGATCGTTCTCTTTAACTTAAATATTGATGGAATGCTTCAGTGAAGAATTTTCATATCATATCCCTCTTTTAATGTTATTATATAGAATAATAGTAAAGATGTGAGGTTTTATTCCAGACGCTTGCATTTTTCTTGATGTGATTTACTTACATCTTACATGAGCACATTTTTATGAATTTATCTGAAAAGCTTCTTCCTGCCTTCCATTTGGCTGCATTCAACTGGGACCCTAAGGCAACATGGACTTTTTGGCTGATATACAGTGGAAAACTCTTGTGGTTTTTTGATAGAGTGGTTGGATCAAGCAGGGATCCAACAAAAGGAAGCAAAATTAAAACCTTAAGTTTCTTTGCATTTTATAACATTTCCATGCCCATGTTAGTTTTAGGTGGTTGTCACAATACAGAGGCACTTGCCTATAATGTAAAAATCAAGAAGACATATGAATTGAAGTAACTACCTTGCTTTCAAATTAGACAATAGTCACATATCCTGTGCTGGCTGGAGAGATCACCAGCCTTCCAGCTTTAGTCGTCCCATGTGCCTCATCTCAACAAGATTTCCTCTCCCTCCAACTGGCAGAGCAGACTTCTTCAGTTGTGCTGAACAGTCACTCATTCCTCGCAATCACTGAGTGTTCAAAGAGGAAATCACACACCCACACAAGCACTCATCATTGTCCTCATTTCTTCATTTATTATAAGGCCTGGTCCTACACGGGGACTCTACTCTGTGTAAGGCTCCCACACTGTCCCCATAAGGGTGACAGATCTGATGCCCTTCAGATAGATGTAGGGATGGTACTCACGAGTGTATGAGCTATGTTTGAATTTTTCTTGCATAGCTTTTCATCTTTTTTTCCGTGAAGTTCTTGTACTCTTACAGTGCCCTTCCAAGGGTAAGTGAACAATTCCGGAGTCAGAAGAACTTTCTGTAGAAGTGAAAGCAATTCTTGCTTGAGATTTCGTCAAGGATTTGAATTACTCACTAATTTGATGGAACATAAATAATTTTGCCCTTCACAGTGTCAACAGCTTAGTGGTAATGATAGAGACACACACACATAAAAATCAATACGGGCTTAGTCGCTACTTAGTTCACTTTGTTTCCTCATCTCCAGGCATAATTTTGCAGAATCTTAATGCCACGTTAGGCTTAATTTTACATGAGCAACCATAAAATGTTCCTTAGCTGGAAGGAAAACCATGGTATACCAAACTGCCTAACAGTGTCTGGATCAATGATAATGCTCTGGGGTTTGCCCCGTGTCTTCCTGCTGAACAGTACGTTCCCACATGGTCAGCAGTCCCCAACTCCCACATCCCCCCTCGGAGAGCATTGTAATGGCACAGAAATGCCGAGGAGGCTCTTGCAAGAGCTGTCAGATGCTTGTTGCTGATTTTAAAACTGCTCTCAGTTTTGCGCTCTGCCAAGGATTTGTCACACCTCCCGCCAGCCAGGTGCCCGCCATTCTCACTCCTGCTTTCCCTGCCGCGGAGCACGCGGCGAGTGCGTCTGCCACGGAGCCCGCCCGGGACTGACAGCTGGGAGCAGGCAACCCTCTCTGGAGAAAGGGTGGGGTATGGGCAGGTGGGATATGAATTTTCTGATGCTGACTTGCCAGTGTCTTTCAGCTCTGATTGCTGGGGGTCTTTTTTAGCTCCTCTTCAAATGCTTTTCTCATCATGAAAGCTGGTGGCAAGGGTCTCCAGCAGTGCTGGTGCTGGTAGAATGATTCATGTCATTAGCTGACATTGGACCATTAGGTAATAAAGTCACTAGTGCCTGGTTGTGCTTAAGCCACACGTGGGGCAGTCTTTGTGCTGCAAATCAGACTGTTCTGCCTCTGTTTTGCTGCCGATGTGCTCGGCTGGGTGACCTGCCCTGAGCCCCTCACTGCTCCTTGTCCTTCCTTGTGATGCTGAGGAGCATGGGGCAGGAAGGAGCTGCTCTTGTGCAAGGGCTGAGGAGGCTCATGAGGCCTCAAAAAGAATGACTGTGCCCTTGTGGGAATAGGGGACTGTGAAATACCAGGTTATGTGTATAGTTGATTTGCATTAAAATGGCTACTAAAGCTTTTGTCTGCCGAATGCTTCAGCAAGGTCTCAGAGGAGCACCTGGCAGGATGGAGCTATTGCACAGAAACATTGCTTTTCCCACCTTTGCTGCCTTTGATTTGACCTTTTTGGTACCGTTTTGTATGTAAGCCTCTTAAAGAAGCCTTTTCCTTGTTCTTACCAGCTGCTTGCAAAGCATTAAAATGAGTCTTCTTCCTCGATGTCAGTCCTGGGGACAGCACCCAGTGCTGGAGGTTGTGTGCATTTGCCCTCTCCTAGCCTGGGCATGGGTGCTCTGCACAGGACCACAGTCCTGTTTTACTGTGCAGGCAAAGGGTGTCAGAGGGAACAGCAGCCCACACTACTCCAGGCCCCTGGAAAATCTTTCAGGGTGATGAAAACCATGTTTTGTCACTCTGTCCTGTTCTCTGTGGCTGACATCAAGAATCTACACAGATCAGCAGAAAATTATTAGCAGAGCACAAATAAATTACCACAGCAGAAAAGGCTCTATTAATGTCACAAAAATGGGGCTCTCATTCCCTTCCTTGTCAAAAGTGAGCACTGAAAATCAAAGTGCTGCCAGATCAAAAGCCCAGGTACAAAGTGAATTGATGGCATCTGTTGCTTGTTTGTGAACGTGAGGTGGGGCGAGGGGAGGAGAGGAACCTTTGTTTATTTAAAAGAGAATGTGGAAAAAAGTCTTCCCTTTTTTCTTCTGCTTTTATATTATTAAAAAGCCATAACTGAAACTCAGCATGGAGTAGAGTGTAGCCTCGGATCTCCCTCAAGGTGGGCAAGAAGTGTTCAGGCAAGTGACCACAAAAGTTTCAGGGCCTGCTGGGAACACCCTACCAAAATACAGCAGAAATAGAATTGCTCTAATAATGAAAAAGGATGGAGAATAAATATGTTCACATCTCTCCAGTTGTCCTAGGTGAAAAATCAGTGAATAACCTGTTAAAATAAACCAGCACTAAGAAAGAAGCAATCTAGACGGTGTTATTTGTCCTGTGGATCTATCACACCAGAAAGCATAATAACAAGAAAACACCATTAGCACCATGACAGGTTTTTTCTTTTGTTTTTAACTTTAGCCATAACACTACCTGACAAGCTGTTTGCCTTCTGCACCAAAAA